TATCCATCTCATTGTTGTTGCATTTTAAAGTTGAGGCCCGACAATTGACAATTTCAATATCTGTTTGATAATCATTTTTGAAATGATTTGTGACCTCTTCTTTAAACTGTTTAATTGTTACCTTGTTCGATTTAAAACGTACAATATGAGGTGGAAAAGGGTATCTAGTTAAGGCATAACGTGCAGATGCGGTTGTTATACTTTGTTGACTATGTTGATGATTGTTTGAATTTATAATAGTAGGACGTGGTGCATTCATTGTCATGATATTATTATTAGTAGAATCAACATTCCTCTGTTGTTGTTGAGGCGTTTTTGGACGATCGTTATAATTGTTTTGGTGTTTACTTTTCTTGTTAATAACTGTCTGAAAACCTTCATCATTAGAATCATTAGAACGAGAGCGACGAATAGAACGTGCTGGAGAATTAATCAATTGCATATTTGTAGAAGCTGGAGGTGGAATATGCTGTTGTTTATTCGATTTTGCATGATAATAAACATTTGATTGTGGATCATAAGAAGAATGAGAACATTGATACTGTTGATTATCGTAACCATTTTTCGAAGAATGACCAATGATATTTTCGATGAAATAACCATTGTGCTGTTGATTAGGATAGAACGTGTTATTATTTTGATGATATTTAGCCATTATTTTGATTAAATTATCAATAATAATAGATAATTTTAAAAGTTATATAACACGCGCTACGCGCGTGATTATATGTATATGTATAAAATATATGTATAAGTAGAGAGAAGTAAAAGACAAAATACGTCCGTACAGTAAGTCGAAAAAGATTGAATGGATATTTTGACATGATCGTTTACGACGATCGTATTCTAAACATAATATCTGACCGGTTTTCTGCTTCTACGTTGACTTTCAAGTTTTTTCGATGTTTTCTTCTTGAGAAAAACCGTAATTAGCATTTTTCTCTTTAACTAAGCATCCGATTGAGAAGGCTCCGAAGTAAGAAAAGTTTTAAAATTCAGTTTTACATGTGACTCAGACTTCAACTGCCCTTAATAGCGGCTATTGTGTTGATAAACTACCAATACGCCAGTTTACGATCGTATACGATGCTCGTGTATGTTGATGTATGCGATGTTTCACTGATACTTTTTTGAAAACCCAGGACGATGATTACGACGATCGTAAACGATCGTAATACGTCAAGTTACGACGTCGTATTTTGACGTTTACGATAGTATTGGGTTGTAATCTGGCGTGTTTCGTGGAGAAGTATTACGATGATCTTAATACTGATATCGTATTTAGTCGTATTTCATCATAAACCACAGTTTACGACAGTCGTAATCCTTCTCCATGGCTCCTTTCGTCGTATTTTGACGTAAACTGTAGTTTAGGGAAGCCGTCAAAATTCGCACCGGTGAATTTATTCACTGGTAATTTGATTGGAAACAAAATTGGAACAGTATTATTCAATATGCCTGAGAAAAAGAATATGGTATAACAGAATGACGATGTATGTATATATTCTTTTCTGTACTATACTTGACTTGATGTTTTTTTTCTTTCTATGCACACTATAGAGAG